TGCAAAGTTAAGCTTCAGCAGAGTTTTTCTACATCTTGTTAGCGTACCTTGAAGTTGATGATCATGCACCTGTTCTGACTTTCCAAAGAGGACAGTTTCACAGACATCCCAATGATGCCCTCTCATCCTTCAAAGGTCTGGTCTATCTTTGCTTGGAATTTGTCCATGTGATGCTCTCTGGAAAGAGCTTTGTTTAGATCCTTGGGATCCAGATATATTCTCAATTTACCATTTGGTTTTCTGTGTTACACCAGGCTGTTCATTCAGGTTGTCAGTCCATCGTCTTTAATCTTGGCAATAATCTCTCAGGACTCCATATCATCCAGCTCATCTTTTATGTCATCGTGCAAACTCATTTCCACACATCAGTGGGGGGTACAGATGGGTCCACAGTGATATGGTGTTATCCATGGAACTTACCAACATTGTTGATGGAAGCAATCAAGGTAATGTTTCACCACATCATCCTTGTCATTTAGGGTTGTAACTTTTCAGGGGTGTGGTTAGTATTCAGCTGTGAAATTTGCTGTACAGAGCAGTTTAGGGTGACAAGATTGAATTCCAGGGATGTTGCTAGCCCAATGATGGCTTCTGTGATGCAGAAAGTTGTGACTGATTTCCTGCCTTTGAAATCACAAGCAATTTGGCATTTCCCATGTTGCGTCAGCCTGGCTCCTCCATAAGCAGTAAGCACTGTAGGTGAGTGTTCCAGAACTCCTGGTTTGGGAAACCCTTCTGGTGTGAGATTCTCAGGGTGCATTCGGCAAGACAGGCTCTCAAAGGCATTATGTTTCCTTGAGCTCCCGTGTATAACTTGGCCTTGAGTGCAGTTGGGCAAATGCTGATGCTGTGTAGGTCAACATTTATGGTCACAAATACATCATTTGCGGGTTGAGCCCGAGGCCCAATAACATCAACTGTGATTGATTCAAATGTAATTGTGAATGAATAGAGTGTTCAGTTCTCTTCTATCCCCATCTCTATGTTTTCCACTTGCGAATATTCATCTGTTGTGTCTTTTTTAACTTCTGAGGTGATGACGTGACCAAGGGCTTTCTCTGTTTCTTTGCCTGCCTCAGGTACCTCCTTGGTTTCTAGAGTGGCAAACTATTGCCCAGTGATTTTCTTTCTGGCAATACCTGCACACAGATCCATTTGCAGGGCACTTGTCTTTGGACTAAAGGATGTTCAAGTCCATAGTTGGGTTATTTCCTGGCCTTGTTGTCATTGTCATTCTCGTCCTTTGAAATGCCATGAATATCTTTGTTGTTTTTGTCTTGCAACTATTCCATTTGTGATAGGGTGGCTTTGCATGTCCTGGCAATGCCAATAACCTCATCCAGGGTAAGCTGATCTTACTTCCTGTGTTTGGTTCCAATGATTCGGGGTTTCATTAAGGGCCAGGCACTCGGTAAATTGACCAGCTGTGAGGACAATTTTGCCCTGCTGGTTTGACCATCTAGGGGAAAGTTTTTCTTACAAAGAGGTTCAGGTCTAATAGTTTTGCCCACCTGTGAAATCCAGTTGCCCTCCTGCCC